GATACCTCAGAACGATCCTAGGCATATCCTGGCGTGACCACGTATCAACACGGCGGTCTGTCACTACGGCATTCTTTCCCATTGCTGTGTGCGTTCGATAAAGTATCGGGTTACAAGACGCGATTTTGGGCTAACCGTAAAACATTTGAAAATAAACAAACTAGTATCGAGAGGAAATTTTATTGAAATAAAATAAAATTATCGTCTTTACATACATTTAATGGTTATTTTTTGCGCTAAATGGATGATTTTTTCGGATTTCGTTAAAAAAGTCGATATTTTTCGGGATTTCGGTAGCGCCATATTTTAGTCCAATCACCGAGCAAACCTGGCTACACATATTACGCAAGATCACTGATTTTTATATTTTTCGTACGACTAGGAATAAGATGAAAAATCGTGCTTTAGGGATTTTTTAATTTCTGACTTTAAGTATAGTTTTTGTCGACAAATAGGTGAAAAAATCGAATTTTTTGGCTTTTTTCGCACTAAATTACCCATAATTCAAAATCAAGCGCATTTTTCAAAAATCCCAAAAGCACGATTTTCGGGACAACCCTGGTAGTCATTTTGAGCCGTAAATTGGGTATGTTAGACTCTCCATGTTTCCAGGTTTGAACGAGTTTTGCAGACATGTCATATCTCCCAAAAGTGTGCATTGTGTTATTCATACAGGCGTAAAGAATCATTACAGTATTCAAGGTCACCCAAGGATACGACAGTAGCTTCGCTACATGTTACATGTCCACAAAAAAATGATAGCGGACATGTACTATCCTGGAAACTGTTTGTATTTATAGAAAAGTGTTGTTTTTTATCTATTACGAGTCACTCAGGCAAAAGGGCTTGTTTTGCCGCTTTATTGCAAATGGCCGCAGGTGACCCCGAAATGGAACGCGGGTTCGATTCGAATTGCCCAGATCGAACACGATCGAACACAGTTCGGATTCTATGAAATGTGGGAACTTTGCAGCCCAGATTTTACCACCGTGATCTAAAGAAAGAAATTAGTCTGTGGACGATCTGGCAGCTATCACATCCTGTAGACAGTCTTTTGAACATGTAATTAAATTACCATTTGTGTGTACTTAGAAGCATGATCTTTTCCTATAGACATGCGTGTTTGTATAGTCGAACAACTAGTTAAAACATACGACGCTTTTTTGCGTGGTAGGGGAGGGCGCCATTTTGTTATGTTTTGTTTTTGTTTGTTTTGTTTTTTGCTTATCCTATGCACTTTTATCCCCTCATATAAACTTAATCCTCATCTTAATCTCACATCAATAGAGGAAGCGTAAAATGATCTGAAAAGGGTAAAAAAAAAGGGGTATACGTCGATGAGGTTTTAAAAATCTCTTAGTGAAGTGAATATGTTTTCGTTAACATTCTATTTTTCCGTAGTCCCAACCGCCGGACCGTCTAAAGTTTTCAGGGTGACTATGTTACTACTTCTTAGTTTATTCTCTGCATTCTACTAGTATGTACATTGTATTTAAATGTCCCTATATCAATACCTGACACCCCTGTCATTGACATGGAATAGCCCTAATTTCCAGTACAAAGCTATGCATATACATTTGTACATGTATATATACATGTGTATATATATGGCGCCGGTAATTCGTACACACGTAAGGCCACACCAATTTAATTTGTTGTTTCTCGGATTGGCCCTGTCCAGTTTTTTTTATTTGGTTCTAAATCAACTGCAAAATGCTCAATGAAAGACATATTTTGGCCCAAACTTTTGAAGAAAGTCCTTTTCTTCCTAGTTGTTCAAGTTTTTCAATGTAGCAATGCAATTTTGTTTCATTAAAAGTTCAAAATCTATTGTTTTAATCATAAACTAGCCTGGTATGTTCACTTCATGGCTCGTATTGTAACATTTCCGGCTATCATGGGGTGCCTTAACCTGTTTTTTTTCGCCCTGTCGCTTCATTTTTTTTTCTGAAAAAGTCCGAGTAGCAACAAATTAAGATGGCGTGGCCTAAGCTCCAAACGCCCTGCATCATCACACCACATCGTGCATTTTCCACGTGCCTGATATACGTTAGGCCATGTTGATTTGATTATATGGATGACATCCTCCGAAAACCCCAAAACTGATGCGCGCGTGCGAATAAAAAAAAGTTTTGCAAAAAAAAAAAGTTGTTTTCATTATGAAATCTACGTGGTCATGAGGGTTGAACAAATGGGACAGAATATGGTTTGGCGAATAATCTAGTCTTCAAGTTCATTTCTTTACAATTTCGTCTTTCTTCGTTTGATTTTGGCATCCGGCATTCTACGACATTGGTATAGTTTTTATTTATTTTTTTTTTTTAACTTACGGTATATTTTTGCTCATTTTGCAACTGTTTTGTACGATTTACAGTATGGTTGAAAACTTTTTTTTTTTTTTTTGAGACGGCCGAAAATTCATGCGCGCGCGGATGTCATCCATATAATCAAATCAACATGGCCTTACAGCAACTCCCGACGCCTTGCCAGCCATCCCCGGTATGCCAGCGAGCCACTAGCTCCCATTAAAACGGCCATCACTTGTGCTGAAGTTGCGGTTACCCCGGGAAGGTTTACTACTAAACCGCGTCGCGCTGTCAAACACACCGCTGAAATACTAGCCTCTGCGGGATTCCTGCTCCGCAATGTTGTTACACAGAGTGGGCGAATCACGGTCATTAAAGTCGCATCCCTCCACATCTCGCTGTATATTTTGTAACGGGCGGTACTAAATATTCTGTTTAAGGCAGTGACCGACACGGTGTTGAACTTTTGCTGCCCCCTCTGTACTCTATTAAACCTGCTCTCCAAGCAGAGGTGAGGGCTGTTCTATCACTTGTTTTGCTGTGTGTATCACGTAGCCTCTACCAGGCTTCGGAAGGCGGTCGATAAAGTAGAAATTGGCCAAATAGAGAGATAACATGCCGATGGAGTTGGTCCGCTAGAGAGTACATTTTGGCGCATCCGCACTCTCTAGCGGACCAACTCCCTCGCCATGTTATCTTTCTATTTGGCCAATTTCTACCTTTTTTTCCACCGCCTCCCGAAGCCTGATAGAGGCTAAAGTATCACGTTGGGTGATTGGGTGTCGGAGACATTACCATATGAATGAAAACCAATCGGATTTTAGGTGAGAAAGACTGGCCGAATTAAAACAAGTATCGACACACTTCTTTACCGTGAGTAACCTTGGTAATAAGCTGTTACAAAATATCTTTTCTCGGTTAGAGAGAACTAGATACATACAGAGTTTGAGTATGTACACAGGGAATATGTCACTGAGAATAGTTGTTTTCAGTAATTTTATATCACGCTATGATCACGCAAGGTGACAAGAGCTGAGTTTATTAATCCAAGTAGCTTTCATCACTTTTAAGCTCTTTGATTAATCTTATTAAGATATCCCTTATTATAGGGATAATCTTCCGTATGCTCATTAAAAAATACAAACACAACGACTTCAAAAGTTTACATGGTACGCATGCCAGTGAATACTGTAATTGAAGATGATCAGGATGTCTGACGACGATGCAGTGTAATAGCGCCACACCACGATTCAGTTGTAAACAGCAACCATTCTTCCCATATACTAAAGAGCCCTCACACAAATCCTTACCTGCTAGAATATAATATAGGGCGGGAGGGTTTCTAAAGCTTACGGAAGTCATGTATTAACCAAAAAAGGTACTAGTAGGTGAATAACCTGTAGTAACAGCACATAATACCTGACCTATTCACCAGAGAGACTTGTCAAAATCCTCATCCAGTAATTTTGTCATCACACCTAAGCTAAATGATACCCTTCACATGAAAAGCTACTAGTACAAGCTATATAGTCAGGACACTAATTGCGAACCATGTCAATGACCGGAAACCCGGTCGCGTATTTGGCAGTGACTGGTACATTCCCCGTCAGGAGGTTATGAGAGTTCTATCACCTCCAGATGGGGAGGATTTGCTCTGTTTCCCTCCGTAACTACCGCGGCTTAGCCCGGGGTGTTGTCGGTGTAGTCTCTAACTAGCATCTACCAGGCTTCGGGAGGTGGCTGGAAAGAATAGAAGTTAGCAAAATAGAGAGATAACATGAGTTGGTAAGAGACCATACAGTTTTCGGCGGTGCGGCAAAATGTACTAGTACTCTCTAGCGGACCCACTCCCCTGGCATGTTATTTCTAGTCTCTACCAGACTAACTACACTGGCTATATATAGGATAATAATTGCCAGGGTTTGGTGGCCTTGTAGGTTTGATTGGCCGCGAAGTTAGGGAGGGAAAGAAACTACCACTCCGCGGCCGGACTCCCTTGGCCAATTTTATTCTCTTTTTTGCCGAACTCTACTATCCGTATTCCCGTAGAAAGGCCTGGTGGAGGCTATGTTATCTCTCTATTTGACCAATTTCTACTTTTTTTAGCCGCCTCCCGAAGCCTGGTATAGACTACACCGACAACAGCACGGGTTTTGTAGTTATGCAGGCGTAACGACACACACCCCCACAAAGCCCAGAACTCAAAACACCTGCACAGCTTGGACTTGGCGGAGCTAATATGGAGGGCGAGTTTAATCGGATGTTTGGAGTCGCTTGTCAATCAAAAGTGCTA